ATGTGCATTCTGTGGGTGACCAGTTCATCAGAATGGAAGCTAATTGAAATGGAATAGCCATATTCTTTGACTCTGTTTTCTTCTGCAATAGCTTTGCAATATCTGAAAAGAATATGTTTTAAGTAAAATTGAAGATACATTATTTTTAACAGGTTAAATTATTATATTTACTCTTCATTTATTATGAGTTGCCATTTTGACTTCTCAGGATATCACACAGAATGCACATACACACACACGCATACACTGTATATATAATTGTGAAAATACACACACACACACACACACACACACACACACACACAAAGCCTACGTATATTTTGGCATTTAGCCTGTCAGTGTGTGTCTTACTCTACCTTATCTGATCTGATCTGATCTTTACTTTACTTTACTTTACCTTATCTTTCTTATCCTATCCTGTCCTGTTCTATTTTCTATCTTAAGTCATATCTTTCATCTTTTATATCTTATCTCTATTGAGATATGTAGAAAGATCACTGAATTAATATAAGTTGCTCAGCAAAGTTTTTTTTCCTCGTTAAGCAACACAATCTGTTATTAGCAGGAGTTACTCATTGAGCAGCTTCTCAATAGAGTAGGAGAAAGAATATCTTTGCATTACTGAATACACCCACTGTCTGATAATTTTATTTAATTAAATAAAACAGACAACTGAATTTATAATTTTTAACAATTTCAAAGAATTAATAAAAGTGTAAATGTAACAATTCAGAAAAGTATTTTTTCTTGTTTTATTTCATTTTTAGGTTTGTTTATATCCTATAGTTTATTATTCTATAGTTCCACACTAAGATCATTTGAAAAGCAGTCAATTATTTATTTGTTTTATTTTTAAATACTTAATGAAAAGCATAAAAGTAATGTATTAAATGAAGGCTTCACATGAGGGCTATAGCTATAGCTCACCTTACTCCATCAATTGCCAGCCAATCTTTATCACATTTCTTGGATCCAGGAGATTGTTCCTGAATTTGTATTACAATAATTTTTAACATCAATCTGTATCCAGGGAGGGGAGCCTAAGATCATTTTTTTTTTAAAAAAAAGAGAATTTTAAAAACAAACATTTGAAAACTACATTTGTTATAAGGTTTGTCTATTAATATGTATCATTTCTGTACTCCAGAGAAGCAAATGCTATGCTGGTTTACTAAGAATCCAATTTTGTTATATTTATTTTGTACAATGACAATAAAGGCTATAATACTACTAATCCCATTGACAGTGGGACTTACTGCCTGGTTACTGGATACAAGACTGAAACCTGGTGTTTCTTTTGGTCAGCATAGATGTGTAATCTCCACTCATCCATTCATTCACGCATTCCAGGAATTATATAGTATTCATCAAAAGAGTTATCATTCATGAGATCCTTTCTCAATGTTTTTTGTAAAAAGCATTTACCATTTTAGATTTCCTTGTTGGTTAGCAAGAATACAAATACTACAGAGTAGTAGTTATTTGGACTATGCATCAGTCCATATAAGATAATGTGCAGTTTCTATCACAGTACAATAAATTGAACATAGGTTTTTGCAAAGAGATGATTCGTATACTATATAACACTAAGCCATTATATGGTTGGTTATTGTTTAATTAGCATGATGTACATACCCATCTAGTTTTGTCTTTATTTCTTGGGATGAGCTTTCATGCCTATTGCAATACCTAAATACAGCACCAATTTTTATTTCCTCTTATGAGCTTGCCTTCTAATCAGCTATAGGTAATCCTTGAGTTATGACCATTTGTTCAGCGACTATTAAAACAAGGAGGACTTATAACTGATCCACAAGGTTGCAATCTTTACATCATCATCTGCAGTCATGTGATTACCATATGCAACCTTCCCTGCCGGATTCCCACAAGCAAAGTCAATAGGGAAGCCAGCAGGAAATGTCAGAAGTTATCCCTGTAAGTCACTCCCACTGGTTTTTCTCACAAGGAGACCTACAGAATATGAGATCCCAGGGATCTCATACTCCATAGCACCCCCTCACATACACACACTCTGTATTGTATGATGGTCCACAGTACTCTCTCACATCTGTTGCCCCCAACACTCTGCCCTCTACTTTCCCAGTGATCGTTCATGGCCCTTGCTGACTATAAAAGTGCATACCTTGATAATCCAGTGGCAGTCAATGTTTGGTGGATAGTAACTAGGATAATAAGGTGAAATTACACTCCCATTCCAGGAAACATACCGGCCACCACAAACTAAGGGAGGAAAAAACAATACAACAGTTTATTCATATTTCTCCAAGTGTGTTGATGTGACCCATCTTTCAACATTACAGTTCCTTTTATCTGTAATAGTATGCAAGGCAGAGAAAAGATATAAGAAGCTGTAAGACAAAAAAATTAAAAGAATTAAAAAGTACATTCATTCTAGAATTCCCTCACCTTATGTTCAGTTTCAAAACCCCTACTAAATTTCATTAATGTTATTTTAATCACACTATTTTGAGACACTCTCTTATCAAAATTGCTTCACATTTTCTTTCTCTTTTAAATAAAGCAATTTGCTTTTTGGCTACACACTTTTCTATCATTTTCGTTTTTAAAGTAGTTATTTCTTATATATCATTTTCTATCATCCACAGCTTCTTTCACTTTATCACCCACTATGTATCTCTTTTTTTCATACTGCCCAATTCTAGACATTCCAGTGACATCATGCCATACAATCCTTTTCATTCTATTCCAGACCCTTCAGGTCATTTTTCACTTAGTTCATTTTCCATTCATTTGTTGTGCATTAATCTATCATGCAATACTTTTTCAGAAAGATTTGTACTTTTTTCTGTAATTCCCATATTGCAGGTTATTTTCATTTCCCTCCTTTTTCTGACATGTTCTCTTTTGCCCTGTGATAAATTCTTGAGGCTGACAAAAAAATGGTGTGTTCTACATACCTACAAAACCCATGTAGCTGTCACTGATTTCCCCTCAGTTTTTGATGATAAACAATTATATAAACAATAACTCATGATTTTAGATTTATATCCATTCCTTTATCTTGCATATGCATGAATAGGCATTTTATTAAATTACATAAATGATACACATAAAACTTTTTTTAAGCAGATACTCACCAGATATTTTTTCCATTCATTTTTGGGTCTTCAAATGATCCCATTGACTTTTAATGTTCTTTTTTCATCTTATTCTCACCCAGTATTACCAACTAGAATATTTTTCCCCTGGGTCATATTAATTCAGAATGTTATCCAATATTTACCAAAACATATCTCTAGTTGTTCAATTATCACCATTCAATAGAATGTAACACACAACTATTATTTATTTATGGATTCCTGCTTTTATGCCTATTGTAATACCTATATTATAGTACCATTTTTTTATTTTCTGGCAAACACTTTATGTCCTTTAATTCATAATTAAACCTACACTTACACTTCCCTATGTATACTCATGAACTCTATTATATTACATTCCTTTGGTTGAACAGATCTACATTTCTTTTTCATTCATTTAATTAATTAGTGCATGTTCTATATCATTTACTCCTCTTACATTCGAAGTTGCAATTGTCTATATGTCATGGCCATCAACAGCATAGATGCTGACTACTGAAACCATCACAGTACTAGTCTCTTGAAATCTTCGTAAAACTCTTTTTAGTAAGATAGAAAATGTGTAGACTAAGTTAAAAACCTTAGCTGTATCTGTCCCATGTGCAGAATTCTGTGCCAATGTTAAGGACATTATCAATCAGTTTTGGCATATTTGATTCAATATGTCATACTTTTCACCAAAGTTTAATGTCATGCAATCTATTATAAACATCATAGTGCTCTTCATATCTCATCAACTACCCCACTATCTCATACTACTGGGGTAGTTGATGAGATAGTACAATATACTAATATGTCAAAATAACATATTCAAGATGTCCTAAATCAACCAAGCAAAAAATTATTTTCACATATAGTAGTTCACAATTTTGAATGGAGCATCAATAATAGTTTATAAATGACAAGAAATAATAGAAGTTCTGATAACTATATACCAATTTTAGGAACAGCCTGGAAATATGCTTTCAATATATTATTCTTTTGTCGTCGATCCAATGAAAAAGTGACCAGCATTACATTACTGGATGAAGTTAAACGTATAATTGGAGGTTTCCAGGCTCCTGACATTCCGCACCACCTGAAATACACATTAGAATATAATAATAAAATATAATTCTTTACATATTTGCTAGAATTTAAAAAAGATTTTGTAAAATAATATACCTATAGAATATGCAGCTGTTCGTCATACTCAGGCACTATCTATACATATTGAATGTCAATTCCTACAATTTTCAGTTAGCTGACTAAATTGTTATTAATTCATCAATTGTCTTCCACCAAAAAATCAAAAGAGTATATGCATATGTTTGTGTAATAGGGCGTTGAATGCTCATTCTAAAAATTAAGGAAAATACTTTTGCTACCTATGAATATCCTCCAAGATTCCTTAATTAACAGTCAGAGTCTGACTCTCCATCCTTTTATCACTGAACTGCACATTACACAAGCATAGGATTTGTCTTTTTATTGTGCCTATTAAGCCTTCTTTAATGTATTCCTTACCTGGTAATGATCTTGTTCTGCAATGGAAGAAGAAAATCATATGCAGATAGCCTGTGCGTTGCACAACTCCCAGGAACCACATCATGTGATGTTACAACTATCAATCTCACAACACACTCAGTTGGAACACGTAGCCTCCATTGATAAAAAGATTTCTTGGGATTCAACAGAGTTAACGTCCTATTATTACCAGGCTTTGCGTAAAGGTCAAAGGCTGCTGGTAGACAAAATCAAAACAAATCAGTGGCTGAAAACCAGGAAGAATGAAAGAGAAATTAATCCCAATCCTATGCTGCAGATCCCAGAGAACAGGCATTTACATTTAAAAAGGCAACCTTGTCTATTTCATCAGACAGGGCTGAGTATGCTGTGAGGCAGTACTATGTTTTCATCCTATAAAGCTGTCCCTTGGGGATAGGACTGAGACATAAAGGCTGTGAAAAGAGATCTTTTTTCATGTATCTGATTTATGACTGGGAGACCTGAAATTCTAGAAGGAATCCAGCATCTTTCACAACCCTATACAATGCAAACTCATTCTATACTTATCAGCTAATGGTTTCTCTAAGTGAAATGTATCTGGTTAAGTGGAAACTGCTTGAATCAATCTCTTTTTGTACTTCAAATTCAAAATAGCAATCGTTTTGTTGAGAAGTAAATTCTTTGCATGGTAACTATTGTAGGCGTACTTGGGAGCTTAAATATTTTTAATTTTTAATTTACTGCTATTAGTAAATTGTTGTTTATAGATGATCCTTTAATTTTTAATATCCTTTGCTCTTTAAAAAAAATGGGATAAGGTCACTCCTACCATCTTTATGCATGAAGAATCAAGATTGACTTCTCTAAGGCTGCCTCTGATAAATGGAATTTCATTAAATTTAATTAACTCAGAACTGTATCCAATCAGTAAAACTTGTTAGAACAATCAATCTAGTTTTTTAGTCATTCAAATGCCAAGGTCATGATGTATGCAGCTGGTAGTATTAAATAATACCTGTTCTCACATATCATCTAATTAATTACAGAATCCTAGATAAACAAAACAGCTCAGAAGAGATTTGCTACTATCATGCCATAATCTTTTAGCAACATGCCTCAAGGCATGGCAGCAATTCTCAAGTGAGAAGAAGTTTCTGGTTCTTATCATTGCTGTGGGCG